AATTTCTATTATACATTGCTTAAGGATCTTTTATAAGAATTCCTTAAAAAAAACAATACTAGGTAGATCTTTTTGCAGACTCGGGCATTCGTCTGCCATTATATACAAGGCTATCCAATTCGTAGTTTCAAAAGTACAGGGTTGAATTTTGGCATTTAACTACCAACCAAATATGTTTTTTCTTAGCTAAAAGTCAGGCATTTATGAAAACGGATCGCTTAGCAGCCGCAATTTGCGTACAAATTTTTTCAATTCATGTCTTAAGAGGCGATTACACATATTCGTCCAACTACTCAAGCAATGGGTAAAATTTTAAAGAAATTTTAAGATACTGGATCGGTTAAAAATATTGTAAGAAAATCAGCCGCAGAGTGGCAGCTCGTTACTTAAAACATATATGTATGTCTAAAAGCTTATAAAACTTATCGCCGAGAAAATTCAGAATTGACTACCCGAGTACCTAAAAATTTCTTAAAAGTACAACTGCTAGCTGGGTTAACACAAAAGTGTATAAGAATATGTTTAGGAGACACCGTGTAGGAAATTTGAGAGTCAAAATTTGACTTTGTGAGCCAGTGAAAGCAAACTTGAATAATTTATATTTTGAAAATATAAAATATTTCTGGGAACCCTTGCATAATTCACCTTAACAAAATATTGGGTTGATAGCTATTATTTTTAGGTAGTGAAGTCATATCTTAATATTTTTTACTTGCACATCTTTCTACACTTTTTTTAATTTATCTTATGTTTAAGTTAATTTTGCGGAAACCAGTTTTATCGTCCTCAAAATTCGCTAGCTGTTGGAAGAAGCTTATAGTAATGCTGTTTTATAACCAGATTTTAAGTTTTCAGAAGGAATTTTATTTATCGTGATCAAAAAAGATGGCTCAGTCACATTTCCCGTAATTATTGATTAAAAATATATAATAGATCAAGATACACTTATTTAAATGAAATTTCATTCTCTCTATATATGGAGAATTTTAATGTGATCTAGCATTGACGACGCGTTAAAAATCTGATCGTGGACTTAATCGAGTACATGCCTTACATGCTCTTTGTATTACAACTTTAATAACTTTATAAAAATGTCTATCGAATAGGCTCAAACATTTTGAAAATGTTTTCGTTAACGAATTTTGGTTCGGGTAGAAAAGAGATAAGTTTTATTTATTTTGCTTTGTATATTTAAAATGTAAACTTAATGACATAATTTTGTTTCGTTTCGGCGACATGTTATCAAAATGAAGTGAAACCGTACAAACTCATGATAGAAGTTAAGATTAAAATTACGTCAATTTCGTCAGATTTTACATTAAAAAATTTTGAATGACGAAAAGTAAAGTTGACAAAATGAGGAGCTTCCGCGATTAAAATAATGTGTTATTGTTATAATTTTTTTGACTTAATTTTTTTAATATTTTAAATTATCCGCTGCTGCTTTCATTTCAAGATTATATTTACTTCCTTTATTGCTTTGCTGCCCAACTTTCATACAGACACTGCGATTACGAAGAGTTTGTGTTTGAGATAAAGTTGTTACAACTGAAAAAGTCCTGCAGGCTTTTTTCTCACAAGGGTTTTTACACATACATATGTATATATATACATCTATTATGTATACAACCGTTTATAGTTATTTATATACGTAGGGTTGTGTTAAGTAGAATAACTGTGAAGCAAATAAATGAGATAAAATTTACTATCTGCAGACATTGCGGACAGTTTGCAGAATATGGCTCAGACAAACTGTTGCGTTTTGGCCACAATCGCGTACCGCACATGCCGTCCAACGAGTAAAAGCGATATTTTTAATTAGTTTGTTAGAAATTGTGCCGTAATAATGGATGGAGGGCACAGAATAAATGCTTATTCCAATTATACATATACGAACCAACACACACGCAGTTGTTTTCGTAGTTGTTAGAAAGTGCTTATTCAGTGCTGATGGATGAAATGAGGTTGTGCGGCGTTTTCGCAAGTATGTTTGGTTAAAATTCAGAAGAGAAGAAATTGAAAGTGTCTTCCACTTAAGCCTAGAGTCCTAAAGTGATGTACGTACATACAACATATGTACATACATATGTATGCATATAATCTCAATCAAGCGTTGAGTTGAGTGCATTTCTTCCGACAAATTGACATCATCGCCCTCCTCTCGCCTTGAGCTGGGGAATATTCATTACTTTCGCTCGTCAAACTAAAACTATGGCGGCGAAATACATGTTCTTGCAGAAATGGCATTATAAGTGGGAGTGACAAAGTATTTTAAATTCCATCTGCACAGCAATCTGCGGTTAGCCTTGGCGAATGTGAACGATTCTGCAGTGATGTCATAAGTGGAGTGTCGTAGTTACATATATATATATATATATATCTTCACAATGATTTAAACTGAATCCTTACACTAAGGTTATAGGCCGGCAGATGAGAGTATGAGAATGGCAGTCAAACTTTTTTGTAAAGTGTATACATATGTATACGAGTATATGTGTACTTGTCCGTACATTGGCATCGGTAAAATATGTTATTGGTGAGGGTAATCAACTTGTCGTTTGCTTTCTACTCTCATATATACAAATTGGTGAGTACGTCGAAAAGTTCTCTTTGTGCTCTTCGTCTGCTTCAAAATCAAATTGTGTGACTAAGTTTGTCCAATTAGATTTTCGAAATTTTGTGTCATTTCCGCCACTGTGACTGACGCCATCCAAGTCATGATTACCACTCGTTGCGCTCTGTTTGGGTTTTAGTTTGATTTGTTGTTGCCACATTTGAAGGTCTTGCTCATGCATTTTAGTTTTTGTAATATTTGTCTAAAATATATAAAGCTGTTTATAAACTTTCATATGTACATATCTAAAATTGTATTCTGCTTTCTGCATAGACAGAGTCATGTGAACGTGAAACTTTTAAATAGCACACAATCTGATTGCAAATCTTAAATAAAAGCAAAGTAGTCTAAGGGTCCAATGTTCCATCAAATAACGAAAGAGAAAGATTTTCTAAAATGGTGATTTATATGTATTTGGATTGTAAAAATAAAGGCTTATATTTAATTAATAAGTTCTAGTTTTATGAAAAATGGCTATATTTTATGTGGAAGAAAAATAGAAGACTCCAAACCGCGGCTTTCAGGGTGGGTATTGCCAAAGCTGGCTGTCGAAACGCTTATAGATGTGACGTGTATTTTCTATTAAAAGTTTAAGTGCTCCAAAGTTGATGCCGATTACTTGGTTAGACTGTCAGCTTCAAGGGTACATAAAGTTAAAGTTAAATTAAGAATGTATTGTTAAAACCTAAGAGTACCGATGCACAGTGTCTCCCTCCTATATAAGATGTAGACATGTTAGGATCGGATTTTTATGAGTCCTTGCCTCTCAGCCCAAACAGCAACTAACAGCTCCTTTACGCGTGATATCACACTGTGATATCCGAAGATCAGCTCGCGCTCGGGCTTTCGTGCTCACCCTACCTTAGCCTTCTCAGCGCAAACTTTGTAAAACCTCTTATGTTACTTACCTCTTTACCTCGGAAAAGATTATTCCGTAATGAGAAAACCATTTTATTTTATTTTTGACCGCATACCATTTAATATATGTTCGCGCACACCAACAAAAAAATTGCCAAACAAGATCAATAGCTTTCCCAAACATCTCTAGCTCAACGGCTTTGAATTGATGGAAAAAAATATATTAGTTAATGTTGAAAAAGGTTAGTTTGAGAGCATGTGATACGATTTGAGTATTTTCCCGTAAATACCCATTTTGCTTTTAATTAATTGATTTGTATTTTAAAAAACGACGATTATTTTATTGGGTTTAATAGTTTTTTAACATTTTACTACATCAAATTTAATGTAATTATACTCACAACTAATTAAAATATTTTAGGTTTTCCTTTTATAAATTAGCAAATAAGACACATAGGATAGGTTATGATTGTCCTGTCCTTGTTTCAATTATTATGTTATATATACAAAGGGAGTTCAAATTAAAAATTACTTATGTATAGATTTAAATTAAAAATAAATTTGAGGGTTTTAAAGAAAACTAGTTTTCAACATATTCTTTATTCAAGCATTTAATAGCTCCCGCTGTCGATAATGTTTGCTTAAAGCCTCAGCTGAAATCTTCAACTTAATGCGGGATTTTCAAACGTAGGTTTCGATCACCGAGATCCTTAAAAAGTTTTGACACCGTTTATACACGATCCTCGCTGTTAAGATGTGTACGTTTTAATTACACATTAATATGTCGTTTAAATAGACTTATACCTTTTTAAAACGATACATCTCTTTTTTAAATTGGTTAAAGTACGAGAACACCACTTCTGTTTGTAGGCGAGAAATATTTTGTTCAAGTTTACACGTTTTATGGTTATAAGTTACTTTACAGCCACACATCTGCTCCATTCCCAGATCAACCGTGAAAGAATGTTGTACGTGCTTTTTACAACTTATTGTCGCACTCTCTTGAAGTGTTACATCCGCCAAATGATAATGGCGTTAGAGTGAATATAAAAATTGTGCAATTTTCTAGTAGTTTTTATTGCACAATACGAATTTATGTTCATTTTATTGAAGGGCTCATAATTAACCAATTTTTCCAGATATAAAAGGCAAACCGAATATAAGCTTCGGTTCAATAAGCGAGCTTAATGCAAGCAGAATACTTCGAAACGAGTCCTTGTGCCAGTAGGTGTGATTCTTTTTGCAGTATGGTAGCTGAAAGTGCAAATCATCATTCAGTAGCCCAAATTAGAATCCTGGGGTGGAATTTTGCGAGAAGATACTAAAACTGACTCTTCACTCAAGTTTCGTACCTTAATAATTAATTAATTGAAGAATAATTTGTTTGGGCCATAATTTAAACATTCCCAGTTCTTCCTCTTTCCGCTTTATGACTTACATAATCACCTTTTAAAATATGCTCGCTTTCATCATCAATTCATTTTAATTATAATGTCTTATTATAAATTTACAATCTTCTTATTTGCAGGTGTTTCCGCCGAGGTGTACTATGTCCGCGAGGGACACGTCAACAACTATGCTCTGAATTTTATTGTACCAGTGCCGGCAAATGTGCGTGACATAACTTTCACTTGGCAAAGTCTGGCCGGTCGGCCGCTTCCCTATAGCATTAATGTTGTAACTTCACAACCAGATATTTTGCCACGGCCATTCATGAATATCTCACAAATCGGTGAAATACCAACCAACGTACAAACGTTTGCCATTGGCCTTAAATGTTCGGGTACACGCGACTCCGAAGTAGACGTTACAATATCCGTTGAGGTTATACTTAATCGTGCCCTCAGCAATGTTACTCATTTAGTTTTTCGGCGAAAAAAAATTTGTCTGCTGGCCGAACAAGAGGAAGAAAATATAGTGCATGGGCCGGTATTGTTAGAAACTGCTGTCCCGCCTCCGACAGGCATATTGACCCTCATTGTGGGAAGCTCTTTGGCCTTGGCTCTTGTCATTATACTTCTATTAACGGCATATTGTGTGCGACGCTCGGCGAAACGTCAAAATCATGGCCAACCCATGCGCACATCGAGCTTCCAGCGTCTCAATACAAGTGCGCCTTGTCAGCAGCCAGCTATCTATAATGGTGCATCATCCGTAATGGCGCCCATTCATAGCTCGTTGCCACGCAAGGTGGAGCATCAGCAACCGGAAGAGTTACATAGACGTATATCAGAGTTGACTGTGGAACGTTGTCGAGTGCGCCTCTCCAATCTACTGCAAGAGGGCACATTTGGTCGCGTTTACCGTGGTTCTTATAATGACAACCAAGATGTGCTGGTAAAGACGGTAGCTCAACATGCTAGTCAAATGCAAGTATCCCTCTTGCTGCAAGAGGGCATGTCGCTGTATGGTGCTTCCCACCAGGGTATTCTTTCGGTTTTGGGTGTTTCTATTGAAGACCATACCACGCCATTTGTTCTCTATTCAGCACCGAATACTACTCGCAATCTGAAGCTGTTCCTCCTTGAGCCGTCTTGCGCACGCACCATAACCACCATTCAGATAGTCATGATGTCCACACAATTGGCGCTGGCTCTAGTACATTTGCACAGCCATGGTGTAGTACATAAGGATATAGCAACAAGGAATTGTGTGTAAGTAATATTTGTTAAGAAAAAGGTTATCTACTCATTGCATTTGAACTGTTCGTGAAAGTCTTATTAATTCCTATTTGTTTACACCTTTTGTTTTCATTTCTCCCTTCAGCATTGACGACCAATTGCATGTGAAGTTATCGGATAGTTCCCTTTCACGCGATCTCTTTCCGGCAGACTACAATTGCTTGGGAGATAGCGAAAACCGACCAGTGAAATGGCTCTCTCTAGAAGCGTTACAGCATAAACAGTTTTCGGAAGCGAGTGACTCTTGGGCGTTCGGCGTATTGATGTGGGAGTTATGCACATATGCAAAGCAACCTTATTCGGAAGTCGATCCTTTCGAAATGGAGCATTATTTGAAAGACGGTTATCGATTAGCGCAACCTTTTAATTGTCCCGATGAGCTGTGAGTTATATTTTAAAAATTTCTATGATGATATATGCTTTAGGTTAGATTAACTTCCAAATCTATTAAAATTGTTAAAATTTAAATTCACTGTTGTATGACAGTGAATTCTTCTTCAGGGTAATAGGGAGAGCAATGTTATTTGAATAACAATTTGCAGTTTCCGCTCTTCAAGAGGATATTTAAAACCTCTATTAACGCTAGAAGGATTACGATATTTTTTATACATTCGATTCGACGAAATCCTACAAAATTTTCAATTTTCTGGTAAAAAATGTGTTGTACGGGTTAAATGCATTTCTTTTAATAAACTATAGGCTTTGGAAAGCTTAAAAGGTTTTTGCTTTTTGTATTAATTGTTAAAGCTTAAAATTGGTCAATTTAAAATATAGTATATTGCTTCTCTATCACATAAAAACTCAAAATATATGTTTCAATTAAACTTAAAAAAAAAAATTATATTAATAACAGTTAGCTCTTTGCACAAGAGACGCAAAGTTCAGCTTTGTGGTCCCCATATGCACGACTATCTTAATTTTTGCATACAGTCTTCGTTTTTCATATGAAAAATATTTACAAATTTCATTATTTTTCTTTTTTTCAATTTCAATATTCTCAAAATTATTCTGAAGATAATTATTTGCAGTTAGTTTAAGTATATTTGCTTTAATTCTGAACTCGATAGAAGCAAAAGCCCAGTGTAATTGTTTTTGAAACTCGGGTTGATTTATAGAAGTCTTGCTACTAATTATTTCATCCAAAATCTTATCTAGAAACTTTTGAAAACACATCAAACCTTCGAGATGTTTCCGTCACTAGGATCTCTCCGATTAGTTTAGGAAATTGTTTTGAGGCCCTCCACGTATCAAAAGTAAGGCTCGGCAGATTGTATATGCTATTGACATACATATAGCCAATATAACCGTTGAGGCAATTTTTAGTTAAGTTTTCCTTGGTATTATGTTGGGTTGGTTTCCAACAATTTAACAGTTTCAAGACGCCTTGGAGCATATAGAAGTTTTTTTTAATTTTCGAGCTATTGACTTTACCTGTCGAGAGAGAAAAAAAAAACTTTTTAGATTTAGTTCTTGCGGGATTCGAACCCAGAAGTGAACGTTGATCTCGACCGGTACCGACCATTTTCAAACGTAGTTTTATTTTGTCAGACTACTTGGAATAACTCAAAATGGGGGATACAAACACAAATGGCGATGGGTTATATTAAAGAAGCGACTGAGAAACAGAAACCTTCTGGGGATTGGATGCAAGCTACTCCTTCCCGAGGAGGTTAAGAATGGAGGAAAGCAATGCTATCAGTAATTGTTGCTTCAAACTCAATGCCTATAAATCTGTCTTACAAACATAGATTTTGTTCATTACTGGCGATACCATATTGGTATGCTTTTTGATGGAAAAAACTTTTAAATTAATGTGAGACAGCCAAGCGGCATTAAAGGGAATTAAATGTGTCAGTACGAAGTTCTATTGTATGTGCACATGCCAGAAGGGTCACCTGAATGTAGGACCCACCATATCACAGTCTCAAAGCTTTTGAATTATTTCAAAAGCAATGAACCTCAGAGCAACTCTTAATGTCCTCAAGGAGAGCGTAAGACCAAGCTACAGTGGGGAAGGATTAGTTGAAGTCAGAAAACTTTTGTAGGATTAAGTGTCACGATCCTGAAGTATAATCTTTAAAAAAGATTTCCACTATATCCAAGCTGCAACCTAACTGAAATGAACATGTATGGAAGGAAAAAATTAAGTGAACGGATAAAATTTTTCGATATTATACATTTGGATTATGTAAGCACATTCAACACACCTGCAGGATGGTGGTTCATCTTGTCGTAAGAGGCGATTAAAGTCCAATAGCTCCCGAGCTAGTCGCTTTTTTGTACCGGCACGACCAGGACTTTTATCTTTTCAAAGACTGGCATTACCACAATATTCTCCAAACACCACTTTGGGATATAATTTAGCGGTGACAACAACTAAAACTAGAGCTACTTACTCACTGACCCAATGTCATCTGGCTTTACTTGCTTTGCTATGAAAACTGGCAAAGCATATGAAAAAAGGCCAAATGTAACTATGCTTTTAAGAAGCATTGCAAAGTTTCAAATAGGGCTATATTCCATTTGGCAGTGATATTGTACCCACCCTTCCCGCTTTGTACTAATTTTGACAGCATTCAAAGTAAAGCAAATCAAGAAAAGCCACGAAGCCAACACAGCCAGGTCACCAGATTCTTAAGTCCTCCACCATCAATAAGCTTACCGACCTAGTCTTGATGAAACAGGGCAGAACTTGGAATTAAAATTTTTTTTTTAAATATGGAATTTGGCGTTTCGATAATTTTATAAAACACCGAAATTTGTATATGAACAAGATTTTCCGCCCTCTTCTTTACTGGCGTAGACACCACTTAAACGATTATAGTCGAGTTTACAACATTGCTCCATTCATTCCTTCTAATTTACGATTTTACTTCTTGCTGTAGTAAATAACTGTGTGTGGAGTTTTAACCAATATTTAATGAAACTCAGTTGTATTTTTATATTCGGCATAAACACGATTTCTTAAATATTAGCAAATTTATTTAGAAATATTTTATTTTCTTTACTTCTTTACAGCTTCACAATTATGGCCTACTGCTGGGCACTATTACCAGGTGAACGTCCTTCCTTTGCTCAGTTGAATGCCTGTCTCTCCGAGTTTTATGCACAGGTGACACGATTCGTATAAAATCGAAAAGGAGCACTTAGCCAATATTTGACTGTACTATTTCTTCCCTACTCAAATCCATAGACATTTCCATGCTATTATTTACACACACAAACAACTACATGTAAGCGCACATAGATATTTACCTAGAATAAAATTGTGAGATTGCCAAATTATATACACTACTATTTATTAAAAATAACATTGATTTTGATTTTAGTGTATAAAAAGTGCATATGTATTTAGATAAGTTAGTTAGTTACATAAATATATATCATAAATAATTAAGCAAATATAAATTTATTATATTTATAGTTAGTTATGAAGATTCTTTTACGATTACATTATGTAAAAAAGTGAAAGATTGGGAAATGAGTAAAGTGTTTCATTAATTAATTATTAAGATATACTATATATGAATTGTAGATTAATTGAGCATGAAATTTTTTTCAATTTTTGCAAATGTGAAATAGCTACTCACATGCATACGTATGCACATGGATGCGAATGACTCCAATCCCAGGCATAGATATATGTATTTTTCGATTGGTATTTTCCATTTCAATATCAAAGACTCATTTTAAAAGAACTTCTTTATTTTGATTATCAAATATATACTCGTACATGCACATGAATGGAAATTTTGTATTATATTTAATAGTAAACGAAACTACATATGCACATGCATACACGTATATACAAACACTTTCATATATTAAGCAAATTAATAGTGATAATTAGTAGCGTAAATGAATTTTTTTGATATTCACATACATAAATAAGTATATGCATATGAATGCACATATTAAACGGTACTATATATATATTGCATTGATATATACATATATTAGCATGTGCATATAAAGTGGTATTAAATTAAAGTTGAACGTACATTTTATATAAATTAAAAATTTGTTATTCTCTCAACAAATGATTCACACACATTTGTGCATACATAAATACGTTTACATAATACTATAAAAATATATAGAAATTAATGTAATAAAAATTTATAAAAAAAAACATTTATACAAGGGTTAAATGAATAAAAGTTTTTTCTGCAAAGCTTTTTGTGTAATATAATACAATAAATAAATTAAACTTGTAAACAGTAAATGAAAACATTTTTACTTTAGAATTAAAAAAAAACATCAGCTCATCAATCTCGGATAATTGCTGCTTTGATTGATTATTTAGCCCATCAATCGAAGTGACCGCAGCGGAGATTTGCTGTTGCCACACTGGTAATGTATCACTGACAATCGGGGTCACCTTTTATTATTCCTATTTTAATAGATTTTTGGAAATTGTAAATTGAAATTCTCTTGCTTAGCTTGCTTTGGTGTTGCCTAAATTGAACGCTGGCAGAAAAACATTCCAATAAATTCAGTGGTGCTCTTAGCTCTTAATGTAAGAAGATAGATGACCCTGGAAATTTCTTTACAATAGCGCAGGAAATAGAAAAAAATCGTACAAGTATAGGGCGATCCATTTCCCTGTTTCAAAAGTACAGGGTTCAATTTTGACATTTAACAGCCAATCCAAACATGTTTTGTTTTAGCTAAAAATAAGGCATTTAGGAAAATTGATCGCTTTGCAGCCGCTATTTGCGTAGAAATTTTTAAACTTCAAAAATGGTTATTCTAACGTGGCCTCATTTCGTGCTTAAAAAGAATATTTTGATGTGCATAACTCATACAATTGGTAACATTTTAAAGAAATTTGATAAGACTGGATCGCTTATAAATATTCTAAGGCATCATCGTTTTTCTCGTTCCTCCTCAAACATCTTTACAGTAAAAGTGGCAAATTTTTCTCTTGGCAAATCCATACAAATAAATGTCCTTATCTATCTCACAAAGGAACTGAAGCCAGCTTACTATCAATACAACGTTATGCTTTGATCGATTGAGTGCTTAAACAGCGAGCAAGGCACACTTCTCACTACGCATTGATAAAAGACCATTACACTCAAAAAACTTACTGTCTGGTGCGCTCTTTGGTCTGGAGGTGTGAGTGACCCTTACTTACACTTTGAAAATGACATGCCACACACCACATGTCACATGTCCCTCATCATGGGGATATCAATTCGCCCCTCTGAAATCGAGTGTTTTGACATCGTTGTACTTTTTTTGTGGAGCTACGAGAAACATACATAAACCTCTAACTGTTATGAGCCAATGAGTGGACGAAAAATACTTTAAAAATTCGCGAGGCAGTTATTATATTTGAACGATTTAGGGTTTCACAAATGTACCGTTACAAAGCGCCAATTATATATATAATGGTATAGTCTTAAAAATAAATACATTAACCGTTATTTTATGCGCATATGCTTGTTATAAACCAAAGGTACAACGTAACGATTAATTTCAAGTTAAACCAAAAATTTCTTTCGATTCGTGTAAAGTATCTGGAAATATCGTCAGAGCAGTTATCAAAATAAATGTTTTATCCTTCTCACCCGAAACGAAATTCTGTAATTAATTTTAAATTGTTAACAGATAATGTTAAACTTTAAAATTGATGTATGGTACAAAATGAAAGCAGAATTTTTAACCTTGTATTCAAACCTTCCGCAAGTCGTCGTATCTTTTCGACCTTTATTGGCCTGCCTCTCAAGCTCCTCGTACTCACGCATTGCGGGCTCTTTCTGTTTTTCTCTACAAATACCTCTTGATTCCCTCTTCAGCTCTCGGTGTCTATCCCGCACGTGTTGTAGTCGATCGCAGAGTTGCGAGGTAGGCAGTCTGTTTTCCCTCCACCGCGACGCGACAATAGTCATCGTACCAACTGCTTTTACAGCAGCAAATAACTCGACAGCTTGTTGAATGCGCACGTCAAGCACACTGAATATATGTCGTCCCTCTATCACAACATGATTGATCTGATGTGACACCAAATTTTCTCTTTTTATATAGTCGCCGTAGTAAATGTCATTAGGGCTTACTCGCTTCCGTCCTTGTTCCGTCCATCACACTTCTTGGACGGCGGTGATGCCAGTCTCTTTTCCTACGAGGATATCAACCAGCTGGCCCGACACCTTCCCAATTAAGGGACCAAACATACCACCAGTTCGTGATCTTTGACACATATGCGGGGGTCGTCATCAGAATGCAGTATTAACTTTCTTATTGAAATCCCTTGCTTCAAGACCTACTCCCCCTCGCAGCCGCAACTCTGGTGAACGTACTTCATCGGATTAACCGAATAAATTGGATCGACTGCTTTAAAGCTTTCTCTCTTTTAGTCGTGACCAAGGCTTCACACTTGTTAATTACCGCATCTTACGCAAGGGTTGCTCACATTTCTAGAGCAGGCGACGTGGACGCAAGAGTTGCTTGATTGTAGCCCATTTCAAAAAAATATTCCCTTATTGCAACCAAACGTCTAGAAAAAAAAACCGTTAATACTATAGCGCGTTAACTTATTTGACAACCAATCGTATAGAAAAAACGTACCTTTTGGATGATATTAAGTAAATTTCCAAAAGAAAAGCTATTTTCACCATCACTCAGAATTATTAAGGGTACTTATCTAACGTGATTAATTCCTGATAAAGCGATTTTTTATCAGGTTTATATATCAACTGTCAAAATTTGTTTGGAGAAAATCTTTAACACAATCTTCATCGCATTTCAATTATAATTCGACGCAATTCCAAATGGAAGAAGTACTTATATTTCGAAAAAAATTAAGAAAAATTTTGAATATTAATAAATTTAAGTTTCAGAATATCAGGTGTACAACTTTTCTTCCGCCGTTTTCCGATTGGTGGCAGTACCGACTGAGGCTGGTTGAAATACATAGATGATAATGCCTTTAAAGTGAGTGTGGACAGTTTTTAACGAATTGTCATCGCCGTTTCAGTGACAGTTGTTCTTGTTTTCGTATTATTCACGCTCGAAAATGTCCGTTTATGTGCCTAATTCTCGACATTTGCTGGGAAGTTTTACTTTTCTGTTACAATTCGAAAAAAAAAATGCAGTTGAAGCGCATCGAATGCTCTCAGAAACTTACGGTGATGCTGCTCTGCGTGAAAGAACGTGTCGGGGGTGGTTTGAACATTTTAGAAATGGTGATTTCGATGTCGAGGATAGCTCGGTGTGATTTACTACGAGGTCTTAAAACCGGGTGAAACCATCACAGGAGATCGCTACCGAACGCAACTGATGCGTTTTAGTCGCGCGCTAAAAGAAAAGCGTTCACAATATCAAAAGCGACATGACAAAGTCATCCTCCAACACGACAATGCTCGGCCTCACGTCGGAAAAGTGGTCAAAAAGTACCTGGAAACACTGAAATGGGAAGTCTTGCCACACCCGCCGTATTCCCCAGATGTCGCCCCTTCTGACTTCCACCTATTCCGTTCGATTTTCAATCCTTCGAAGAATTGGAAAAATAAATTGCTTAATGGATAGCGTCAAAAGAGGACTCCTTTTTTCGAGCCGGGATCCGAAAATTGCAGAAAAGATGGGAGAAAGTTATCGCTAGCGAAGGACAATACTTTGAATAATATATCTATATAAAGTTGTACACCTAATAGTATTCCGGTATAACCATTCTCATCGCTGTACCAAGTTTGAGAATTTCAGTATCATTCAAATCAAGAGTGTTTAGGGCTGGACAGTGATAGTGGTGCTACCAGACAATCTCCTATTCGTCATTCTTCTCCATTCTTCTAGTGTGAAGGGTCATTAAACAGATTCTAATTACTATACCAGTTGATCTATTGATGGTTAACCAGCCAAGGAGGATAACATTCCTTAATTTTTAATTTTTTAGCGTCCAATACAGACCACACACTGTCACATACACATTTTTTCATTAAGCAATAATTGTTGGGTATTTTGATGATAGCCAGCTTCAGAGTGTCTTTTGCGGGTGTGTAGCATGTAGCTGAGAGCTTGTTTGAAGTGTTTTTACATCTTACCGCACTTTTCATATGGTGTGATTTTATGGAAGAGATCTGCTGTGAACTTGGCTAACCAAGTATATTATGACTGAATGGCTTGTCACCAGAGACTCGAGGAAGCGGCTTCTGCTTGATAAACACTGCAGTAGGCTGGTAGCCTCATAACTTGCTCCTAAGTACTGGGATAGTTGATGCAGGAAATTTTAAATAAATTTAATAGTTCATTACTTTCATCATACTTCCCAAATTGATATTAATTTTTGCTCCTGATATATATTTTCATAAACATAATCAAATAAAAAAAAAATATAAAACCAATTGATACCTGTAGCCAACGAATAAAATTTCATTGTCGCCGTACAAAATGTGCAGCCAAATTGGCGTTAAATGGCCCTATCTGTATAACACTGGTCTCAAACTAAAATTGGTTGAGAGTGTTGGAGAGTTAATTTTACACCAAACATAACATTTTAGGTGTTTTTATGTTAATTTTAGTATATATATATGTAGTGTATTTTCGGGTTATATTTTCCTCCAGTACTCCAAATTAATATTTTTTAATAGTATCGAAAAAATTCCAGATATGGGTTTTAGATCTGGAGGACGGACTTGCAGTAGTACAGCAACTAAGCTCTAATTAGTTCAGAGTTGTGCTTCGGACCATTGCCTTGCACAAGTATGAATCGATCCACAATTCCCAACAAACATAACATTTCCAACTCCGTTTGCAGCCATAGTTCCCCT